TTTGGTTATTTTATATATATATATAATATATATATATATTTTTTAAGTTTATTGACCTATAACCCGCAGTAGCCAAAAGGATTTTATGGTTAATTTTGGGAGCGGGCTTACTTTTTATATTTTTGTTTTTATAGATTGTTGGTGAGTAATTTTAATAATAATTTTACTTAATAACAAATTAGGCTTAATTATGCTGGAAACATATTTCATTTATTTATATTTGTAGGTGAATAAGGTTTTTTTGTTGTTGCTTTAAAAGATGTGTTAATATTTGAACATTTTAGATATTACCCAAAACATTTTGTTTTTAAGTGATGCTAAACTAAGAATTTGCTTTTTAGTACATTTTATTGCTAAGGCAGTTTTATTTTTTATTTTATTTGTTGTTTATATAGCAGCTAGAAGGTGTTGTTTAGCCACCGGTACATATTTTATGTTGCTTTTAGGTTTATTAGATTTATTTGTATTAAATTTATAGTATTGTTTGCTTGTTTGTGAATGAGATTATTTGCAGTTGTGACAAGAAACAACTTATTTTTAATTACCTTTAGGTTTACAGTAATTATAATTTTTGCTTTAAAGTGATTTTTTTTAATATGGTGTTTATGATATTTTGTTTGGTTTGGTTATTGGAGTGTTGATATGTTTTTATTTAGGCTGTTATAGTAGGAAGGGAGTAGGGTGAACATTTGGGTTTTAATTTAGATATGTTTAATTGAGTTTAATACATACTAATTTTATTTGTATTAATAATGGATTTAATAAGACTTTTACTGGATTATTTTGAATTATTGTTGTTTTTTTAATTGGGGTATTTTTTTGAATGCATAGTTTTTGGTTTAGGTTTTGGTGTATGTGTTTGGGAACTATAGATTTAATTTATTACGGGGTATTGGATAGTATTTTACAATAACTGTTAGTATTGTTTTTGTTTTAATAGGCTTATTTTACTGATATGGTAATTGTGGGTAGCTGGAACTTTAGGTGGTATTTTTATAGGGACTTTTTATTTTAACCTTTATTTTTTTGTGTTTTGGTATTTTTGTGGTGCTTATAAGGTGAACCTTAAGGTGGGGTTTTTTTAGGCATATATATTGGTATTTTTTAAGGGTTTTAAGAGTTGGCTAGTATTTTTATTATACTTTTTTTGAGGATTATTGGATTATGGGTAGGAATTTATGATTGGTTGGCAGGGAGTGAATTATTTTTTAAATATTGGCTTTTAAGGAGGGCTGCATTTTTTTTATGATTGCTTTAATTATTTGGATGCTAAAAGTTTTTAGAAGTAGGTAAAGCCAGATCTTATACTGGAGTTTTCTTTTTTCTGGATTAAAATTGTGGTGGTTAAGCAGCACCTTGTGCTTACGTTTTGGGGTGGTTTTTTTTGCAAAGAATTTAAACATTATTATTTATGTAAATAATTTAATTTGTGAAATATGTATTTATTTATTAATATGGTATAGTAATGGGTTAAGGCGATTTACTATGGAGTAAGGGCTTATTTATTTTGATTTTAGTGAGTGATTTTTAATTTTATTTTGAGATATATGATTTGATTTTTTGTTTTTTATAGGGCTGTTTTTGTGGGGTTTTGTTTTTTGAATTTGTTGTTTATGTGTTTGATGGCCTGATTAACTCTATATTGAAGGGTGATTTAAAATTCTACTATTACAAGGGTGCGATGGAGCACTCCTCCTTCTCTTCTTCCTCCTCGTCGTCACTGAGGAAGGAGGATGCCGTTGTCAGGGGGAAAAGGGAGGAATGTCATGAGTCCAGAGAGGAGGGTGGAAGTGGGAGGAGGTCATGTCTAAGCAGAGGTCACTCGGGCATGTCAGATACAAGCTGGTCTTTACGGTATCTAAATTCCTGGGGAGGAGGAAGGAGCATCATCAGTACTGGTAGATGACTGGGTGCCCAGATGGAGCTGAAGACTTGGTTAGTGCTGAGGACTTGCTTGGTGCCGACGGCTTTGTTGGTGCTGAGGACTTGGTCGGTGCTGGCAGTTTCGGCGGGGCCAAGGACTTGCTCTGTGTCGACTGTTTCAGCTGTGCTGAAAAGGACGTCATTGCCAGTGGTTTTGTCAGTGCCAAGCTCCTGAAGTCGGAATGTTGTGGTCTCCAGTGCCGAGAGATGGTGCTGAGGTCTGTAGCTCTGCCTGGTTAGGGTCCCTAGACTGCAGTTTCATGCCGGAACCAGAGGTAGTTGGGTTTTGGAGCTATGTTCCCTGTCAGATGATGTTGAGACAACTGACCTCACAGGGGAAGGTGTTCTGGCAGGCTGTGCCTCAGAGTCTGAGGAGGGAGCCTGTTTTCTTGTCAGAGCGAGAGAGAGACAACTTTCTCTTAGAGAGATGTGGGGAATGAGGATCGGCAGGCGACCTGGCAGAGCATGAAAGCCACATAGCGGGAGAGTCCAGGTCCGATGCTGGGTGCTGTGATTTCTCCATGAGAAGTCATAACCGAATGTTCCAGTCTTTTCTGGCCCTGGCAGTCAAGTTGTGACAGTAGGAACACTTTTGTGGGATGTGTCTCTCTTCCAGACAGTGAACACACTGCCGGTGGCCGTCCATTACTGGAGGGCATTACAGCAAGAGATGCACGTCTTAAACCTGGGAGATCTGGGCATAAGGGTGAGGAAAAAAGCTTCCTGGTCGGAAGGGTGAGAAGCAGGGAAATGAAAACCTAATTGATGAGGTAAATATAAAGGTGAAGTGAAAACAACTTTTTTTTTATAAGAGGAAAGAAGAAGTTCTAAACTACACTAAAACTGACAGGTAAGGCACCACTTTAATGAGGGAAAAAGGAGAAGTGGGTTCTTCTGCGGATTCTGTCCCAAACCAAAGGCAGTAGAGAAGAATCTGGGTGGGGGCAGGGGGCAGTCAGACAGCACAATAATATATATACGTCCCGCTCATGGCGCAAGAGAGGGGAGGTGCGAATGTGCAGTCTGACGGGCACTGCTGATGAAGATCTCTGATCCCAGAGGCAGGGAGTGCTGCTGCACCTATAGTGGAGAACCCATAGGGACACTATTCAAAGAAGAGTTAATCTTCTCAGCAGCAGCCTGCCAGCATTTTAATAACTTTATTAAACAGCAGTCTACTGTGGCCTGGGTTCAACCTGGCTAATTTCTTGGGCAGTCCATGACTGAGATGATTAGGGTGACTGTTTTCCTCGCTGTTAAATGTTCTATAGTGCTTAAGGATTAATTTTAAAATGAATGGGAAGGATTCACCCGAGCCAGTGTATTTTCAGAGGTCCTGTCAACACAGTTTTCTCCAGCAAAGGAGGTAATCTTTTCAAAGACCCTTTTAGCTCCATATGCCTTTCAAGATCTGATACACTGGAGTTCAGAATACCATTTAGATGGTGTTTTTCCATTGCTCTAAATTAAAGGTTTTCAAATAGATTAAACATGCATCTGTTCTTTAACTTCTTGAGTTTTTGTAGTCATGTTTAGCAAAGACAGCCACACAAAATATAATTAGTAGGTATATTCACTGCAAGAACCGTGTCTGCAACCTTATTTGTGCCTCTTACAGGCGGACCTTAGATTATTAAAATTGCATTCCTTTGTGATTTAGATCAATATATCTCTATTTTATATATGTATCTATCTATATATTTTACCCACTAAATATTGAAGGTCTGAAATTATTACCTTATCCTCTTTGGTATCACCTGAAAACTCTTTTGTATATGTTGAGTGGGATTTATTATATTATCCTAGAGCTGTGCATGAGATATTTTGAGCTATATAACTTTTGTGAAAGATATGGTATTTCCTGAAATACTCTTTAAACACCTTATGGTGTTAAATTTATGTAACTTCTTCATGGGCAGATGTGACAAACATTGCAATTCCATGCAGCATCTTTGGGGTCCATTGTTTTAAATGAATGGTTTATGTAGGACTGTTCTATTCCATGAGGAAGGGCTACCACAGCTCCTACAGGAACTAAAACAATAGGTGGTTAAGGCAAATCAGGCAGTTTGTAATTTCCCCAGAGAGATACCACCTCCCGGGGAGGCTTGCATATACTAATTCAAACTAGATTCCACAGAGACCAACAGGCAAAGAAAAGACTATGGGATAAATAGCCTGAGTTTAAACTGACTCAGGGCCTTTCTTTCTGATTCAACAAATGGACAGGCCCTTCTGTCCAATGGGGTTCCAATTCTTCCTGGGAAGGGTTGGAAGGACTTTGGCCTACTGGGGCCCTGTAAGACATATGGGTGATCTCGGGTAAGCTTATTAACATGCATGCAGGTTCTTTTATTGTTTTTAATGTTTTCTCTGTAATACTTTCACCTTAAGAATAAATGTGCTTGCTTATAAAGGGCTGTGTGGTAACTTATAACTGCTACCAGTTATGTTGTTCGTAGCCTTCAAAGAGAAAGCGAAGTGCAGACACTGGCCTGGTTAGGCAATCTGGCTTGCTGGGACTATCACAGTGTAAGCAGGGAGCTGTGTAGCCTGGAAAAGCCCCTGGTCAGGAGGGAGAGAGACGTGGGTCTCCACCCAAGAGATGTGACAGCTGAGGAGCCTGGAGCCTCAGGGATGCCTCAAGGGACCATGGAGGGGGAATATGGTGCAACTGCCCTGAATTGTGACAACTATTCATTGCGTAACTATTATTTATAAAAACTAGACTAACCTCTCCCAGGCACCAGGAGGTAGCCCTGTTAGTCTGTATCCACAAAAACAACAAGGAGTCCGGTAGCACCTTAAAGACTAACAGATTTATTTGGGCATAAGCTTTTGCGGGTAAAAAACCTCTGCATGCTGTACTACACCTAGCACAATGGGCAGATGATCTTTCTTGGGGTCTCTGACACTACCATAACAGAAATTAATTTTTATTATTAATAGGAGTTAGAGAGAACCTATTAATGTATACATGTGTCAAAAATAATATAGAATGCATAATAATTACTATCTTAGATATAACAGAAAATGCTGCAGTTAAAAAACACACAAAAAACCATGCCTTTCCTTACCTGCTCTACGCCAGAATTTCATGTGTTTAATTCCAGCTGTTATCAGTTTATCAGGCATATAAGGATTAATTTTAACAACAAAAATCTTATCTTTGCTTCCTCTGAAATAAAAAAAGTAAAACATTTCACTACCTTTATACACAGACAAATGTATACACTCATATTTTTCTGTCTGATTGTCCAACTTACTAATGTCTATCTCACAAAACATTCCTATAGCTCTTAACAATTCTTTTATAAGGAGAAATAGGAAGGCAGGCCATTGAACTAAAGGTATTGAGTTCATTGCCATTTTTATCTGTCTCACTCTTAATTTGACAGTTTGCAGATTAGAAATCTGAAGAAACTGCTCTACTTCAGCAATCCACTCAACACCATTTTCTTTGTAAAAGAACATACTTGACCCAAAATAATGCAATGATATTTATTCTTTGGGAATTAAGCCTTGATAGCAAACTAAGGGCTATAAGGTTACGTTAATTGCAGACCTTATCTACATCAGTTTCTCATTCTGAAAATCAATGACAACATCCATACACTTTTTACTGAACTTTTCCATCATTCTAGTGGACTTAAACAATAATGGGTATGACAATGTTTGTCACATCTATGTTACAATACCTATCTTCAGCAGTTTTTGAAAAAAAACCCTGTCATCTTTGGATGCGGACACATTTTGTATTTCTTTCTATGTTCCTAAATACAGACATACAATACACAACTACAGGTGCTACTGTTTTGAAAGATCCTATCACTTTCAGCTATATTTCCTATGTGAGAGAAAATGATTTACCAGTAATTCTGCTTCTCTGAAAATATCATTTTGTAGGAGTCTCATTCATGGGTATTTGCTCCTTAGTGCAACAATGGGAGAACTCCTTTAGCTTGTAGCTTCCTAAGATTTTATGACTCTGAGGGCACCATGAGCCAGTCCGTTACTAACCACCTTACACCACAATCTGTCATGTATAAATGCTGTCCTTCAACACTGCAGTCAATTCCAATGACAGAGTTTGAGGTGAAGCCCCCCAGATAGAAAAGCCAATCCAAAATGATCAACATAAGATTAAAAAAGGGGCCGGGGGGGGGTGTCAGTAAAAAAAAGATGCAAGAGAAAAACACCTGAGAAAAGGCTCTGAGCTCTAATGGGAGGTGAACAGATGAAATCCTACAAAATGTAATCTACTTTGAAAATAAGTTATTGAGCATGACGAGTCTAAAACAGGAGTCCATTCTGGAGGTGAAATCCAAGCAATAAATGCTTAATATATTATGTGGAGTAGACTATGTATCTGCTTTGAGGTTTCTTAATGAAAATATACCTGAAGCAGAAGATGGTGACAGTGTTGCTTCAAAATGAGTGCTCCTTGACAACGCCTTTAGTATCAAGCAATCCTGGTGGTAGCAATATAAAATGCAATCATATTCTCTTCTTAGTAATATACAGTACTGCCCAGTGAAGTGGCATCAAATGAAAAAGATGTGTGGACTTTCTTAAGGCGTTTTGTCTTTTCCAAAAACAACACTAAGCACCTTCAGACATCAAGTGTAGGGAGAGGAGTACTCCGGAATGGACATGCAAAACACACTGGCAGGACAAACAGCTTATTAAAGTGGAATTCAGACATCAACTTAGAGAGCAACCTTCAATATGTCCACAGCACTGTCTTATCCTTGTAAAATATGGTACACATTGGGTCTGTTACAAGGGCTCTGCAAGGTAAACTCACTGCTACCAGGCAAAAATTACTTTCCACGTAAGAAACTTAAGCTCACAGAGACTGAGTGGCTTAAAAGGAGCTTTCATCAGTTTTGTCATCTTGATATTATGGTAATATCCCATGACACAGGAGGCTTTTTAATCGGAGGTTTTAAAAGCCTCAAGACCTGCATGAACCTGAAAGGCACTGCATAGACTTTGCACTGGTTGACCTTCAATTAGTTCACTATTGGCCAGAATGGCTGCCAAATGTACCTGGATGTAGTTAGTCTTTCACTTAAGACAGGTGAAAAGACAAGTCAAGTAGCTTTTCTGGTGAGGACAAAGTGTCCACTCAGTCCTGTTTGCATGACACCACAAACCATTATTTAACTGTAGGAACTGGAGTTGTAGGTGCTTCTCAAGTCTCCTTGGAAGCTCTCTACCAATATAGAACTGCCCTCATCTCCAGAATAATTATGTCCAAGTGCAATTCCTATGGAGATAAAAATTCTCTGGGTGCGTAGTCCTCTGTATTGGCTCCCCATACCAGGTTAGACACATCTGTGGCTACTACAGTTTGGAGAGGAGGTATTTTAAGGTCAATTTGTAATTGGTGATTGTTCCTGAACTGTCAACGGGTCAGAGCAGCATGGATACTGTCTGCCATCAGATGAGATGCGAAAGTTCCTGAAAGTTACTGGAATTGCAGGGTCTACTGAGCTTACTTCATATATAGAGCCCTACCAAATTCATGGTCATGAAAAATGCGTCACGGACCATGAAATCTGGTGTCCCCCCATGAAATCTGGTCTTTTGTGTACTTTTACTCTCTACTATACATATTTCATGGGGGAGACCTGCATTTCTAAATTGGGGGTCCTGAACCAAAAGGGAATTGCAGGGGGATTGCAAGGTTATTTTAGGGGGGGTGGTATTACCATCCTTACTTCTGCACTGCCTTCATTGCTGGGCAGCCAGAGTGAGGTGGCTGTTGGCCGGGCGCTCAGCTCTGAAGGTAGCGCCCCGCCAGCCGCTGCATAAAAGTAAGCGTGGCAATACCATACCATGCCACCCTTACTCCTGTGCTACTGCCTTCAGAGCGGGGCGGCTGGAGGGTGGTGCTGCTGACTGAGTGAGGGTCCAGCTCAGCAGGCAGCAGCCTAGAAGTAAGGTTGGCAATACCATACCAGTCCATCCTTACTTCTGCGCTGCTGCTCCAGCGGCTCTGCCTTAAGAGCTGGGATCCCGGCCAGAAGCCACTGCTCTCCAGCTGTCCAGCTCTGAAGGCAGCACGACCACCAGCAGCAATGCAGAAGTAAGGGTAGAAGCACCGCAACCCCTATTACAATAACTTTGCGACCCCTCGACAACTCCTTTTTGGGTCAGGACCCCTACAATTACAACACTGGGAAATTTCAGATTTAAATAGGTGAAATCATGAAATATACGATTTTTAAAATCCTATCACCATGAAATTGACCAAAATGGACGGTGAATTTGGTAGGCTCCTACTCATATGCAAACATGTCCTGGACACCACGAATAGCGTTGCAGCCATGAGACCTAACATTAGTAGCATTGTCTAAACTGTTACCTGCTAGCTCTCTTGCTGATCCGTTGCGCCCAACTGGGAATGTCTACGATCCTGTTCTAGAGAAGGAAAATTGATTTGAGCTGTCTAGTGGGGCTCCTGTATACTTCAATTGTTTGTGGGGGACTGTTGAAAATGTGGGTAGTTTATCACATATCCTAGTGACTCCATTCTGGTAGTGATATGGACTGTTCTTTCACATGATCCAAAGTAGGGTCCTTAATCAGCCAACCAGCCAACTTAGTGAATGTGCATGCTCCCAGACTGGGCAAGTAGGCAATGACTTTCATCAAGAATTTTGTGAACATACCCAGAATAGACACCAATTCAAGAGATAAGACAGTGAAGGAAGTGATGTTCCTTTACCTCATATCTTAATACTTGAAGAGCATTCTAAGGGGCTTGCAAGCATTTAGTTCTAGAGCACATAGCAATTAAACTTCATCTAAGAGAGTTGTAGTGGCTTCCAGGGTAACTATCTAGAATTTTTTTTGACCCAATACTGATTCAGTTCCCTGAGATCCAAGAAGGGCCAGAGATTTCCCATCTTTTTTCTGCCTGAAAGTATGTAGAATAAAATCCTTTTCCTTCTTTTACTCAGTGGCCATGGCTTTAGCGTTCTCTTTGCCAGGAGGGACAAGACTGCCTGTAGCAGCTCTTCTTCATATTGAGAAGCCTGAGAGCATTCTTGAGAATGAGGAGCACAATTTGGAAGACTTTCTGAGAACCATTTGTAGGGGGGCACCACCTCATCTGATGAGCTCAGTATCATCTCCTTCAAATACCAAGCCAGGTCAGCAATAATGTCAGGCAAAACAGGCACGGAGCCTTGCCACTCAGAAAATTTGACTGACTTGGGCTTTGGCACTCCAGGCCAGACTTGTGCCTTCCTAAGATGCCTGAAGGAGAGCTTATTGGACCTCCCCATATTTCCTCAGCACTTGGAATTAAATGTCTAGACATATCTAGTACCCCTGCACATCATGAATTATGCCAATGCAGACAATATAACAAACATGGTCATCAGTTTTAAACACTGTTTTGCCACACTGGCTAAGTTTGAAACTGCAGAGCAGTCTTTTTAACTCTCTGTCTGCATACCTGAAATAAAAGAAAAGTGTTACCAGTGCACCAAAGGGAACATCAGACCAAAAGACACAACAAGTGCTGAGCACCAAGATAGGTGTAGGAATGAGAAAGATGTTTTTATTACTTACAGCTCAGCACCTAACAAGCTTTGGCTTCGGAGTGCTGAGAAACAACAATGCAACAGAGCTAAGGTGCTAGCCAAAAGAAAACACATATATATGGTAAAAAGGCTCTATATTAATGGGTGGCACATAAAGCAATGTTCCAAAGTTCTGAGAAAATATGTACCAAATTATGACAAAAAGCAGAATCCAATGTGCCTGATGCAAAAGACATCAGAAATTTAGAAATACTGTACTTCACCTGACTGAAAGGCAGAGTTGGATCCAGGAAAGAACACACGAAGAGCTTCAATGTTGTGTGCACAATAGACACTGAATAAAAAATTTCAAATTTGTCCTATCCAGGGCCCCAGGAGATCTTCTGTTGTGGAATGAAAGCATGTAACTGTCACCCAGATTTTGTGTGTTAGAGTTAAAGAGTTGCTAACATTATCTGAACTGCAAAATAGAGAAATAACTATTTTGCGCATCAAAATTGTGACAGTGGAAATACGAAGCATGTTTGTTTTTCCGGTTGCTGAAAGTATACTGTTGAGTGAACATTTCATTTTTCACATTTAGACACTAGATCAGCATTTTGAATTATTCATGAAGTTT